GATTGATGGCAGTTGAACAACTGGACCTACTGTACGATATGCACACTGTCTTTCAGAGTCATTAGACCAAATTACGTCCTCAATACTGATAGCGTGGGAGGCTATTCTTAAAAAAGGGCCAATCCTGCAAGAGGGGGATTAGGTATCTGGTTTTGACAATAACAATCAAAGGATCTTAGGCCAGATAGTGTACACTCATCCTCATGAGGCACTAGTTAATATCTGCATAGCATTGAGTTTGGGCTTGGTGACCGAACCCGAACGCGGCCCAAAATCGATGGAGCCTGAACATTTTTATTGTTTTATTATTTTGCTTTCTATTTTTAATATATATAGGGGTTGGGGGGCCCTTCGGGGCATTGCTCATCACTCCTGAACATATACACACACATACACACATTACACACACACATTACACACACACACACACACCACACACACCCCACACACCACGCACAGACGAGGACACGTTCGGCAGCCTCTTGATTTGCGCTTGGCCGAACATGTTCGGTTCCCGCTCGGTCGAGCGTCCGAACACGCTCGACTGCTCGGTGGGGCACCGAACATGTTCGGTTTGCTACACATGTTAATATCTTAGAATTACAGAGGGATTTTTCCTTTTCCAGATATGATACAGATAGGGTGGAACTTCTACCTCACAATGCTCTCTACAAGATCAAAGTGTTATTAACTCCCTCTGTTCACAAATGGTGTGCCTACTTCCCTGAATTACTGATAGCGGAGCTCCCTATTGATCCGGGGGAATGGTGCTGGAAGACAAGCCAATATGGTAAACCTAGGACATTACAATCACTCACAGTCAAAGGTACGTATCTTTTGCTGAGACCTGAGGTTGATGTAATAACAATTATGCAGGACCGATGGGCCAAACATCTAATTATTAATATGGAGTAACTTAGACCCCTGCGCTGGTTCGAGAAAATTAAAGAAAGACCAGCCAAGTTTTCACCTCTCCAATGGCAGATTGTGCATTGTTGCTTGCCCACCAATGACTGACTGATAGACCACACAACTTTGGAACAAAGGGGGCTTGCATTTCCTTGGTGCCAGCTCTGCCTCTCGGCATTCCCATCAAGAAAATATAGGGAAACCATAGAGCACATGTTTGCACAGTGCCCAAGATCTTTTCTGTTGTGGAGGAGATGGGATTGTGTGTGTGAATGTTTGACTGAACTAGATTGGCCATGGGATTGGCGGGCGATATTAATCGGGCATTGGGATCCCTCCACCCTGTCACTATCTACTTTTCAATGTAATCTTTTTCATCTAGGAAGGAAAGTTGTACTTTGGTCCTTATGGCACAAAAAATGTGCGTGTTATGGAAGAAGTAAGACTTGAAGGGGAAGACTAACGGACATTGTCAAGCAATTTGTGGAAACAGAAATCCGAGTTCGAAGCATTAACACCAAGAATAAGCTCAAAACTTATCATCAAAAACTAGACATCAAAAAAATTCTCTCACAATTTCGAAAGGACTGGCTTGGGAAGTCAGAGGGGGGCAGAAACATTGGGAAACTGGAATGGGCTAGGGAAAATGTTTCTGAAATGCCACTCAAACGTGATTACAAACTGGTGTTCAATCGCTGGTGGGATTTGGGGTCTGATGATACATTAAGAGATGCTGCTGATTTTCCAGAATTCTTCCCTCCTTCGGAACTTATGTTGGTAGACCTTAAGTGGGTTCGGAGAGAGGAGGAATAAAAGTGCTACTATAATACAGACTGGTGATCATTTGCTGATAGGTTTGGGATCTGTCACATCTTGAGTTGAGTGGTGGAATGCTAGCAAGGTAACGGTGGATCAGGCGGCACTTATAGAACTGAAGAGGCAGACCTATGCTGATTGGTTTCATGATTTATGTTCCTAAATAAACGGACTACTTAGTGTTCTTGGGACGCTGGACCCGGTTTCCAGCAGGTGATGCTCCCCACCAATAGATTGGAGCTCTTTTTGTTAAAGAAAAAAAGAAAAAAAAAAGGATATTGGTCTATATTGGTCTATAGACCCTGATGGAGTGTGACGACGCAGGTACTTAGAGATTCTCCCAATCCCTCTCTCTCCCAACAGTCATTGTGGAACTGCATCAGGTTCGTTCCCAAGAGAGGACATAATTTTTCCCAGAATTCTTTTGTAAGTCCGTCTACACCTGGAGTCTTATCATTGTTCATGCTCCTGACTGCAAGTTTTTTATTTTTTTATTGTTTTATTTTTTTCTCGCCTGGCCACACAAGTGGTCCCGGGGCACTCTGGTCGCCTAGTATAGAACGGCATTTTGGGCTCAGGAGAGGAAGCAAAAGCGATGGCAGCTTACCTGTGGAGAAATGACCTGGGAGCATTTTGGGCTCAGGAGAGGAAGCAAGTTAACAAACACTCTAAGAGCTTGTATCACATGGGTCTCTTGGAAAGAAATCGCTCAACCAAGAGTGACAGGAGGCCTGGCTATCCTAGACCCAGGAGATGAGATCAAAGGCTTAAATCCTTAAGGTGATTATTAGGACTCTTCGCTAACGACGTCCCTTCAGCCCCCTTTGTACAGATCCAAATAAGTAACCTGGCTCCCCAAACCACTTCACAACGCAGGATTCACCCTGATGCATGGATAACTAACCCAGCCTGGACCATCGCAAACAACCGGCGACAACACAATACCGATTGCCCTCAGGTAGAATCTCAACAGGATCTGGCTAAAGACCCACTCTGGGTGTGGCATACTGCGCAGCCACACGGGCCTGCAGGGCCCGACCAGATGGAAAATAAGGGCCCTACAGGTCCTGTGTCGTTTCAGCGTGAAAGCCTGAAAACAAGGGCCTAGAGGCCCTGTGTCGTTTCAGCCTGAAAGCCTGAAAATGAGGGCCTACAGGCCCTGTGTCGTTTCAGCCTAAAAAGGGCCCTCTGGGCCTGAAACGGAGGGCTATTTCCAGGCCCTTGTAAGATCGACCTGCCCTGAAACTTAGGCACCAGACCAGGGTCTTAGCACAGGCCATTTTGGGCCTGTTTTCAAGACAACCTTTCTTTGAACTTCAACGCCGGGGTCTGGCACGTTTTGGCATTGGCAAGAGCAGCCTCCTGGACGGGCCAGCACTGTATAAGACTGACCTGCCCTGCAGGCTGCAGGTAGTTCATAGGGACTTCCCAGGCACTTCACGTGCAGGAGGCAGGAGGCAGTCTTCAGGATTTTGCAGCGGCACTCTGGAGGAGCGCTGCAGTAGTAGTAGTAGCGTCAGCAGTAGTCTTCAGCGCTGGGTGCTATTAGGAGCTAGAGTAGCATTGGAGAGAGAGAGAGAGATGGTTGGCGGAGGCCAGGGAGACTTACCTGTGGTGCCATAGCTCCAGCTTCGTCTTCGATGTACCTGCAACAAGGCGCCACCTTCACAGGTTAGTACCGGAGAGAGAGAGAGAGAGAGAGAGAGAGAGAGAGAGAGAGAGA